TTTCTTTTTCATGATATTGGCATATCCCGTATGATTTACATAGAACATTATTTAGAGTTCAAACATATTGGTTTTACATAATGTTTTTGCTCGGGTTCCATTAGTTTATGGTAGGAAGAGTAGGTTTTGACTGCTCCTTGACCTTAATGATGACCAAGAATAGAACCCCCGATAAACAACAATCATTCCAAACATGATGGCAAGATCAACCCACTTAGAGTGACCCATTTGCACATGCAATGTATCTGTTAGGAAATCTCTACCACTAATAGTTATGGTACCTCCATCTTGATTCCAAACAAATGTTAAGCCTTCAAATTCATTCTTGAATGATCCTTGGAAAGCATATGTCAGGAAGGAAATGTAGTAGCCAGGGTACTTCCATAATGGATTTGGAAGATCATCAGGAAGTCGGAAGAATCCAGCTGTTAAAATTGAAAGTCCTTGAACTCCCCCAGCAACGATCACACCCATCACAAAATTTGGGAAGATACTGCCCACAACCATCATAAGGCTCTCAACCCACATCATAATGGCAAATAGGATAGAAGCAAAGTATAGATATTGCTCTAGTCCTTTCTGTAGTCCAGAAAGGTAACATACTATTACTCCAGAAATGAGAGAGATCATTATCATGTAAGGTATAGCAGATATTATGTTGCCAATGAGAAAAGCAGTAATGCCATAGTGCCCATTCAATCTCTCTGGTTCAAACTCCTAATATGGTGGAAGGAAACCTTTTTGGTTACAGATAAAATAATATTGCAGAGACATTTGTATCCAAAATTATAACTACCAAAGGGCTTAAAGAGGGAAGATTTTTTTTCCTTTTTTCCTTTCAGAAGTTGAAACATATCGATAAAAATATCAACATCAATGGAAAAAAAAAATTTAATATGATTTTTATCTTTGAAAACCAATGCAGTCAAATTCAAAACAAAACTGTGTACGTACTACACTCATCAAGTGGAAATCGTTTAAACATGAGCAGTAAAAATTGATTCAGGAATATACACTGGAAATCGTTTAAACACTAATACCATACAGAATACGTCTCTCGTACCACACTTATTGTCATCTTCATAGAAAACATACTTGTAGGCCTCTAATCACACTCTCGTACTACACTCATCAAGTATATTCCGCAATGACTGCATTTTCACAGTGTAGTAGTATGGTATTAGTGTTTGATACAGAATACGTCTCTCCGTAATAAAACATGATATAATAACTTTCATCTTAGTTTGTTGTCTTATACCGCATTTGTTTGGCTTAAGAGCACATTATTTGGTGGGCTCTTTGCAACCCTTCATAGAAGGTGTGAAGCTCGCTTTCCACTATGATGCTGAGCTAAGACTAAACTTTGTTGTACGGGTTGGATACCCCTTGCTCTCCCATTAATATAATGTGATCACAAAAAATTAACACTTGTAAAGTTGTATTATGATATAAGCTTAAAGTATCACAATAAGATTATGAAATTTTACTTGTTCTTTTGTAATAGTTGATTTAGTTAAGTAGTTTTGACGCAAGAAAAATTGTACTGATCAAGAATGTGTGGTATATTCCTAGGATGAATAATAATTTGATGAGTGTATGTCAGTTGATTGAAAAAGGTTTTATAGTTACCATAGCACAATCTCTTGAAGTTATATGATTGTAATTAAAACTTGATTATGCAATCTGAATTGGGAAGAAACAGAACATTCAAAGTGAATGTTGCGGCACAAGAGATTGAGGCATCTGAACTACAAAAGCTTAGGACATATGAGTTCAAAGAATCTAGTACATGGAATTCCTAAAATTTTGGCACCAGATAAATCATGTGATATATTCATTAGAGGCAAGCGACCAAGATTGTCATTCTCATTAGAAATGCTTCCAAGAGTAACTCATGTTTTGGGTGTCATACATTCTGATGTATGTGTTCCATTTAACGTACCTTCACATGGAGGGAACAAGTACTTTGTGTCATTTGTGGATGAGTTCACAAGAATGACATGGGTAGAACTCATTAAGTTCAAACATGAGGTGTTTTCTGAGTTCTAGAAGTTCAAAGTGAAGTTTGAAAATCAAAGTGGACAAAGGTTGAAGATCATCAGAACTGATGATGGAGATGAGTTCAACTCAATAGAGTTCAGGAAGTTATGCGAGGAACATGGTATTAAGCATGAGGTGACTGCTCCATATACTCCACAACATAATGGTCTTGCTGAAAGAAGAAATAAGACTCTTCTGGACATGAAAAGGAGCAAGCTGAAGGAGAAGAATCTACCTAAGCAATTGTGGGGTGAAACAATTGCTACTTCAGTATATGTGCTCAACAGAGAGTATGAATTTGAAGATGACTCTAACTCTGAAAAAGAGTCTGAATTTGAAGGTGACTTTGACTCTGAAGGTGAGTGACTCTGATGATGGATCTGCCTCTGAAGGTGATCCAGCCTCTGAATCAGCCTTTGAAGGTGGAACTTCTAAAGGTGGAACTTCAGAAGTTAATCCAGCCTCTGAAGGTGGAACTTTTGAAGGTGGTGTTTCTGAATGTGGTCCTACTTCTAAAGATGAATTTTCACAGTTCCAGAGGTCATAGTGAGTTAGACAAATACCAAGTAGACTTTGAGACTTTGAGATTTACACTGGAGGGTAAGTCATACAGAGTGTCATGATGATGCACTTTGAACCCATCAACATCAATGAGGCTCTTAAGAAGAAGGTATGGGTGAACGCCATGAAGGAAGAGCTTGAGGTTATTGAAAGAAACAAGACATGGGAATTGATTGTTCTGCCTCAGAACAAGAAAGCCATCAGTGTGGGATGAGTTTTCAAGATAAATCTGAAGTTAGATGGTTCGGTTTCCAAGCATAAAGCAAGGCCTACTCAGACTCTGACTAGTGTGGGGACAGAGTAGAGAGAAGAATCATTATAGGATACATTTTCATGTATCTAAGAGCTCATATTTCTTGGTGTTCCAAGAAGAAACCAGTGGTTGCGTTGTCAACCTGTGAAGTTGAATACATAGTTGGTGCTTTGTCAGTGTGTCAAGCTGTTAGGCTGATGAATTTGCTGCAGGAGTTCAAAGTGAGCAAACTAGTCAAGTTGATGATTAACAACAAATATGTCATAAGTCTTGCTAACAATTCAGTGTTGCATGGAAGAAGCAAGCACATTGATACTAAATGCCACTTTCTGCATATTCAGGTTCATAATGAGTACTTGAGGTTGTTCATGTCAGCACTCAGAAGCAACTTACAGATGTGTTAACTAAGGCAATCAAAATTGAATGTCTCATCAATTTAAGGGATGTAAATGGTGTTGTTGATTTTAACTTAAATGTGAATTAAGGGATGATTTCGAATGTAATTCAACATTTAAGATTAGTTACATTTACATTTACTTGAGGTTGTTCATGTCAGCACTCAAAAGCAACTTACAGATGTGTTAACTAAGGCAATCAAAATTGAATGTCTCATCAATTTAAGGGATGTAAATGGTGTTGTTGATTTTAACTTAAATGTGAATTAAGGGATGATTTCGAATGTAATTCAACATTTAAGATTAGTTTCATTTGCATTTACATTTGCATTTGAATTTGAATTTGAGTTTTCATTTAGTTTGAATTTGAATTTGGGTCATTATAATCGAGTTGAATTTGTAACCGAGTTTTAGTAGATCTTTCTCAATAGAGGAAGTTAGTTAGAAAAATGATATTTCTCAATAGAGGAAGTTAGTTAGAAAAATGATATTTCTCAATAGAGGAAGTTAGTTAGAAAAATGTGTTCTCTCTCTCTCTCTCTATCTCTATCTCTCTCTATCTCTATCTATCTACAATTGTTCATCATCTTCTTTCTCTTGTGCATTGTTAATAGAGGTTGAATGTGTAAGGAAAAACAAAGCAAGACATGGAGAAAAAAGAGGAACACAATCACAATACAAGAATATAACGTGGAAATTTCAAAATCGGAGAAAAAAACATGGTCATTATCAATAGAGAGCTAGAGAATAATACTATGTAAAAATTATTACAACATATAATATACTCTCAACTAACCCAGACCTTCAGTACACTCACACCCTGTAAAACAAATATTTAACTACATCTCACAACAATCTAATACAATAGTATAAGAGAACAAAGAAATTCAAATACAAGTTTAAAGTACTTTTAACTGGTGCATCTTAGAATGAAGAACTTAATCATATATATAGCTTTGGACTCTATCTTTCTTCACAAAACTAAGCGACGTAGGACTTCAAAAAAATCGAATCATATATATAGTCTTGAACTTACTCTTCATTCACAAAATTAACCTATGTAAATTTTTTTCTAACATGTATATTTTCAATCAAATCAACCCTAAGACATTGTTGAACTCCAACACTAGACACGTTCAAATAGTAAAATGAAGGTTTCCTCAAATTAAATTTTTCCATGAATTGAAAAGGCATAATATATAAGCAAAAACGACCTTTCATGGAAAGGAGAAATTATCAAACAAATATGCCACATAGCTAGACATAATACAACAAGAGACATCCTCTTCTATATTAGTAATATCATTTGTCTTATCAATCAAGTTAAAATATAGCACCTCTTTAATTTTTTATGACAAAAGTTAGGTTCCGTTTAATTATATGACTATTAATATATCATATGCTTTAAATTTTTCAATTAAATCTTACTATAGAATTGTTTTGTTTATAGTATTGGATACATAGTTTGTGTGTCCTACATATCTTTTTGAAAGGATTATGTGCATATCTTCCACTTAGTTAAAGTGAGAAAACACCAAGATTAGCCAACCCACATCTTCGAGGGTCGAGCTTTGTGTTTAGGAATTCAGAGACAGGTCCAAAACCAACCTCAAACTTTCAATTTTAATACTATAATTTATTTATTTTATAATATATATGAATTAAATAGAAACATATATAATCGGTGCTATATATGATATTTGTATTATAAGTTATAACCTCAAAGTAAATTTCTGAACAGGTAAAAAAAAATGAGACTCTCAAAGGCAACATTGTTTCTTTTTGGTTTTTTCATCTTCATTGTAACGTGTGTTGTTCAAAGTGAAGCAGTGGTCAACGAAGGAGTTGTGAGTGGTGGTGGTGGTTCTGGAAGTAATTATGTCACTGTTGTTGTAAGTTTTTTGGAATTTGAAACTTCATCTTTAAGACTTTCTATCTCTTGATATTAATTGAAAGTTGTTATAGTATTAATTAAGGTTATGTGTTGTTGCAGAGAGGAGGTGAGTGTGAAAAACAAGGTGTTGAGTGCAAGAAAGTAAATGGTGGAATTGAAGAAACTGATTTGGAAAATGAAGATTATATCTACACTAACTCTATGTTACCTTAGATGACACACATTGTTTTTTTGTATTATGAAGTAATTGTTTCTTACTATTTTCTTTACTAAATTAGAATAGTGTGTATTGTACTTGTTTGTTACTATAAAGGGTTGGATAGATCTACACGATTTAGTGTTAGCTGCAAATTGTTGGGTTAAAATTTTCTGTTTATCAAATGTAAAATCCATATACTAATTAGTCTTTTCTTTTTCAGATTTCCACACACATTTCTATATCGAGTTACAACATTAAATACAATATACTGATCATTATAAAAAATTATTAAAAAAAAACAAATCAGTTTTGAACTTTTACACAAGAATGAAGATGATCCGACTTTTTTTTTATGGTAAAATCTGTCATTTTAAAAATTATATTTATAAACTTAAGAAATACAATATTATTATATGTAACTCTTTGATCAAGACGCATCACAATGTGTGAGATAATTGTATTCATGATACACAAAGGTAATGAATCCAATGACATTAGAATTTAGAATATAACTGGTCATCGGTATCACATTCCTAAAGATAATTCAGTTTCATGATACACAAAGGTAATGAATCCAATGACATTAGAATTTAGAATATAACCGGTCATCGGTATCACATTCCTAAATATAATTCAGTTGGATTTAAGTGTAACCTAATCAATATGTTTTCTAATATGTAGTATATAATTTGAATAAATAGATAATCTCAAATGTTTTGTACATTTTACAAGAATTAAGATACTTAATTATTATTTTATGAGAAAAACAAATTATATATAATATACAGTAAGGTAAAATTAAAAAAATTGAAAGAATAAATAATGACTCTTTAGAAACTCCACATTCTCTAGTAATAGAAAAACAAAAATGTCAAATATATAAAGTATGAAAATTAATTATATTTGATGATATTTATTAATCTCCTCTTGTTACATAAGTTTTTTTTTGAAACTTTTTTTCAAAAATAGCGAGGCGCTTCTAATTGGTATTATATATATTCATCCTTTATCATTTTTTATCTTGGTCTTTGATTTATTGTTCCTCTTTATATATATATATATATATATATATATATATATATATATATATATATATATATATATATATATATATATATATATATATATATATATATATATATATATATATATGCATTTGAATCATCTTGAAAATGCTAAGAATACACTTTCTACCATTCTTTTCAACATTTTCTTTATCAGATAGAATTCACTGCGAATTTGACTAAAATTATTGGGCACCATTACATACTAGTGAAACGTATTTTGAAGTGACGAGATCATTGTTGGTAGTATTTCCATTTAATGAATGAGACTGAAAATATATAATTTATCATAATTAGTTGCCAACATACTTCTTGAAGTTGAGATTTATTTTTAGCAAGAGAATACGTGCCTTTTAAATTGGGTTCAGCTTGCATAAACAAAGGCACTGTCTTTGGAGAATCTCAATTTGAAAAAAAATGGCAGTTAAAAAGAATAGACAGCTGCTAGTAAAACACAAATTCCAGGGACCAAAGTCAAACTAGAGACATCGAGGATTCTCTTTTATAGAAACATGTGGAAGTATCAGAACATACCCATGTGGTATGCCTTATTAAATTACCTTCATTTAAGAAGACTGCAACCCATCAACCACATTGGATACCAATACCAATAACTTATTATTATACTATATCCCCATCAAATATCACTTCTCTGATCTATTGTGGTTGTTGTCATATTAGCTCCTTACTTGAATCATATGCTATTTCAAGCCTTGCACTAACTTGATGACCTTTTGGAGAACCACGTAGATGAAAAGTACGAATCAAAGATCTAAAATAGAAAAATACAGAAATTAAAGATGAAGAGACATAACATACTGTAGAGTGTGAGTAGTCAAACAGACACTAATAGTCTGCGGTGAAACATTAAAAAAAAAAAAAACTGTTGTTTAGTCAGCAACTTAAATTCAACCCAACATGCATATTAATTGCACATGCTGACATTTTCATCGAACAAATTTGATGTCAATGTCAGGTTAAGGTTATGCTTCCCCTTCAGATAGTTGTAGGAAACTGCATCAACCCATGGTAATTACAAGAGTAATTCCAAAAAATAATTAAAATTTACTAAGTTCAGTTAAATTCAAGTATGATATGTAATATTTACAAAACTCACATCATACCTATATAAGTTCCTTTTTGTGACAATTATTTTATGTGTTGTTTTTTTGGAGTCGCTAATGACAAAAATGCAGCTAGCTAATGCAGAGATCGATATACATTTACTAAGTAACAGGTGATGAACATAAAATGCCTCCAGCATGTTTGTTAGTCAAAAGATTTTAACATATGCTGGTGAAACCTGAAATGTTGGTTTCTTCCAAAATCATCCCTTTCATGGCCTTTAACATGTGCTACACATCGTCCAAGTTCTGAAATAAGACTGAGCAAACCCAATAAATAAAATCATTTTTAAATACTAAACCATCAACTGAAAAGTATCCTTGACACCCAGTACTAGTATCTCAAATAAACAATTGAATTGACTCTACCCATCAGTATATAAAACCTAGGAATCCAAGGCTTTTCACATTGTTTGGAAGATTATTTTTAATCATACTGAACATAAGTTTTTTTAAACAATTAGCCTGTGTTTGAGATGAACAGTACCTTATATACAAAAGATAAAAAGCCAACATACAAAAAGCCTCTGATATACTAAGATACATTGACAAGCTACACCCATTGCTAAAATAATTTATCCTAAAATGAATGGCCCTTTCAAGTTTCAATACAATATTAATTTTTAAGTTTTAATACAATATTAATTTTTCAATTGTATCCTCTAATTAATACTATTTCACTTCCAATGAATGTCCTAAATAAATTTTGTTTCAAATAAATGTCATTCTCAATAATCAATTTTCAATGTAGAACTTATACTATTTTTCCAATTATACATTTTAAATATTATTGTATACAATAGTACTTCCAAAGCACCGTAGTATTTCCTAAGCATTAATAAGATTAGTTTAGTAAAGTATCATATATTTTCGCAACTTTATTACATTTCTTAATGTGTATAAAATCCTTAAACGACACTCATTTTGAAATTGAGTGAGTACTTTGCATTTAAAATAATATAAACACAGATACTTAATAATGGTAATTTAGTAAAAGTCATATTCCCTCTACTTCGTTTATACATTTTTTGTAATATTAGTGAAATCAAATAGATGGCTCATTATGGGGCGGAAGGAGTTTAGCAGTAATATACATTGCAATTTGCATTTGTCAGGCTATAATTTAATTATACTCAACATACATTTCACTCCAAGGTTGCAAACAGAGAGAACCAATCTTTCGTTCACAATCATGCAACAGGCATTAAGTACTGTGCTGGCTAATTTTTTGCTCGAGACAAAATAAATATAATAGAACAAACAGAAGAGAGTCACACTAGTCCCTCTTCAACATTTTTTCTATGATGTACTTCTTGAGAAAGATATCAGAACTCAGAAAAGTAACCACTAGAAAGGTGATCAGACTAGCAAATACCAAAAACGTAGTACAACCTTAAGGTTTGAAGTATCACTAAACATCATATCAACAAACAAGAAAAGGATGACAAAAAATCACAAAGTATAATTGGCAGTTAATACAATAATACATGAATGCAATGTTTTAAAAACAGGCTCGGCCATCGACCCACAAGCTCAAGGGGTCAAGGAGTGAGTGGTCAAACCAAAGAGTCATTGGTTGAACCGCATGATTGACTCGGATAAAATTGGGTGACTCGGTCACAAAAATCGGCCTCGATAATAAAATTGTATAGGTATTAAGTCGAGTTTATCCGGATGACCCATCACTAAAAATTTACAATGATACCTAAAAAATGTCAAGAATATCATAGGGCACTTATTAAATATAAAACACTTTAATAAGGAAATAAAGATTCACCTTGTAGTTGTTTATGCTGTTCCTGTTATCAACCGTTCCATTTCATCTAGCTTCTTGACCTTTACAATGCCCAAGAGCACTTGGAAACCAAAGAATGCACAGAAGACATATGCTACAATTGCAGGCATCTGAAAACGTAACAAGTGACCAAACATTGGGAGTCACACCATATAATCAATGAATTGACTATATAGTAACCACAGAAAGAGAGAAAAAAAAGGATGTGGGATAGGAACAAGAAAAAATAGGGATGCGGGACAGGATAGCTTACACGAATTGAATTAAGGTACAAAATTGTTGCAAGATTTATTAAGCTTCCAGCACCTACTGCCTGTAAATTGACAAAAACATAACAACAATATGCATCATCCCAAAAGGTTTTCTCAGTCGTTGATCTAATAATATCACCCATCAATTTGAACAAAGATTAAAATTGAGAGGCTTTTTTACGTCAAAAATTGAAAAGAAAAATAGACATATTGGCAGACAATAGAAACAGACATGGACTGTACTTGCAACGAGTGTCAAATATACATACACATCCATCACTCGTTCAAAAGCTTTAGAGATACTGGAAATTGAAGTCTTGATTATGTATCTAAAAAGGTGAACCACATGAAGTCAATCGATGCGAAGTATATGAATCTACACGTAGATGCATGGGCACTCACAAATCTAGAGTGAAAAAATTAATATACTGGTATATGAGAACTACATTCATATACAGGAAAAGATACAAGTTTATTATATAGCCAGTATATGTAACAGTCAATATATTCATTCACATTTCCATAATCAAATAAATTGTTGCCATTGATTGATCGGGGCATACAACAGTCAAAAGCCATATACAGTAGACTATAGAATAATTCGCTACAGTCTAAATCCAATGCAAATATGAATAAACAAATAAACTTTTATTATCCAAATAAATCACATCTCAGCTTAACTCACATTCCCTATAGTCTTCTGGACTGTAGCAACACGCTGGAATGCCCTTTCAGACTCTAAAGTTCGAACTCGGAGCTTTAGATCTCCTTGCTCCTGCGAAAAATAAGTGCAATACGCAGTGATCTAGAGTACCAGAGATCCAGAACAAACAAAAGGTACAGATCAAATATAAATATCCAACACATACCAGTCTTTGGATAACTGTAGCAAGCTTGTCAACCCTGTCAGCCTGCCTAAATAAGTTGTAAAATGCTTGAGATTGTCTATCCCATCTATTACTGAAGTCCTGTATATGAAAAGAAAGATATGAGAAAGAAATCATAATATTAGACTGAATTCATGCGCAATTGAAAGTGTTTATGACCACCTTTAAGACAACTTCAACCCCTGCCTCACGAAACCTTAACAACTCCAAAGCATAACTACAAGGCCAGAAAGGCTAGTTGTGTTATATATGCAAAAAAAACATCACTTAAAGATGAATAACTAAAAATAATTACAAATGCAAAAGCTATGAACCCAAAACTCACGGTTTGGCAATCTCAGTAATGTCAAAACGTGGGTCAAGGCCCTTTCCAATGCCATCCAACACTGCAGAAACAACACTAGCTTATTACCTCACAATCACACGCATAGGATTTACAAATTGAATTATTTAACTTATTTAGATTTACCTGAGAATGCTCTAACAACAAATGTAAATGTAGCAGGAAATCGAAAGGGTTGATCGGCTGAAATGGATAATAAATCCTCACCTGATTAAAGAAAGACAGCTATGACTGAGTACTAAACATCTTTTTAGAAGTAAAAAAACAATACCTATGGGTCGCATATTGTCATTAAAGTAATGGAAAATAATATTCAATAAGATTTATTGCTTGATAATTGGAAGCAGATCACAATCCTTATAGTTGAGGCAGGTGATGTCACAGTTCATGAAAAAATTCAATTTAGACCAATCAGGAAAATTAACCAAAACTTACAGGAAAAAAACATTAAAAAATCACGGTATAAATACACAATTGTATGTGTTCAATTTTCATCTACTTGTATACTACATATAACTTTTTAATAATTCACTGTTATTACAGAGTCGTGCTCCTTTGATTTTAGATGAAAGGGACAATATGTGCTGTGTGGGAGATAACCTACATGCTTCCTTAGGACTCGCTTATTTGTTATCTTAACATTTGGCCAGATTAGCCAACAATAAATTGTTTCAAGCGCACACTTATATCCATAAAGCATAAAAAAGTGTGCATCCAATTACACCATGTGCATTACCAATAGCAGCTAAACGTTGTTTCTTCTTCAATATTTTTTCCTCCTTGCTTAATGGTTTTTTGAATCCAAGTTCACCAGTTGCTTCCTCTTTCTCTCTCCTTTGTGCAGCCAGGCGCTCCTCAAAGCTGTAGAAGACATATATTGAAGAACTCGAGGTCAGATGTCTCGTTGAATTCTAGCATAACTATGGAAAAATAGTAGCAACAATGAAAAAATAATCTAATGAAAGCATAATGGGTCAGAAAGGTGTTTGTGCGGTAAGTTTTCAAATAGACATTAGTATATTTTTAATATAACAAATCAGGACAGGCAAGCTGCACCAACCCTAGTAAAAAAGCAATCATTTATGCCTTTGGCGTGACAGATATAAATTAAACAAAATGAAGAAAATTCATTATCTATTTACTAGTGCAATATACTGAATTAGCAAAACTTGTCTTCAAGATGAAATGTTTTGACTTAAGATTCTCCAATTTAGTGGATTCTGCATTCTAATGGTTACACCAATCAACAATGTACCAGTTCCAGCCTTTAGACTTCCATATATTATAATACTGACTTGTAGAAATATCATAGTTCTGAGCACTGTATGTGTTTCTATGTGTTAGAAAACACACTTAACATGTGTTAATTGTGTAAATAGTACTTGCTATTAATTAGGAATATAATTACGAATTAAATTGATTCTCCTAATTCTTAAGAGATAAATTCTTTTGATTGTAAATACACTCACTGTGTAGTCATATGGCATGACACTCCGACATAACAATTTACATGTATAATATAACTCCAACTAAATAGGTTCATAACTACCTGTTTAGAAAGAACTGTGCTGTTCGCCTAACAGCAGTCATATCTCCAGTAGGGACAAGAATACCCATTTGAACCATTGATTGAAGAACCTAACACCAGCACACCAGCTTCATTTGGTAAGCATTGGCAATTTTAAGGCATTTGAGTTTAAGAATGGAATACTGTGGTAGAGTATCCATAACAAAATGCTACACAATCTATTAAAAGCATCTACCTTATCTGGATCCTTCTCATAGACTCCATAAAATGTTTCAAGCAAGCCTTCTCGGATGTTTGGACTAATACTACAAGATGCAGCACCGATCATTATTTGTAAAGGCAAAGCTTAAAATAACTGATACTGGTAAATTTTAATTTGAACAGGTTTGAACTAGTCATAGAAGACAAAGAACATACCTTCCCATCATTCCAAAATCATAGTAGATCAACCTTCCACCATTGACATCATCAACTGCAATATTTCCAGGATGCTGCAGGAATAATTTAAACATATATTAGCTGTACACAAAATATCAAGCGGCAAACTTCCTAATGATAATCATGAGACATGAAATAACGAAAACTTATTATTCCTTATTTAAGAAAAAGGTTTCCAAACACAGAATCGACATTGCTTCGCCTTACAATGTAAAGACATAGAGGGCTTGATAGCAAGACCCACCCATCAATGAAAGGCAAGAGTTAGAAATTAGCATTAGTAATTTCGTGTTGCTACATGGGGGAAACACATTTCTTAACATACAAAAGTTACTCTAAGGCAACAAGATAAATTAAGACTGCCATAAAACAAGTCCCACATCAAACAGACTTGCAAAACAATAATAATCATAAAACACAAGTAGCATACTGCTTGTAGCTCTGGCATTAGATGCTAGTGTTGCATCATAAGAGCGGTAAAAGGCAGTTAACATTTTGGCTTTGATAAAAGTTTACCATATGGCCAATCCAAATATAATATGACATAACATATAAAGAGAAATTTGATTTCAATTCTGAAACAGAAAACTCACAGGATCAGCATGGAAGAAACCATGCGATAAAATTTGTTCCAGGAACGCCTCAACTGCATATCTCCCTAGCCTGTAGGACATAACACAAGCATCCGAATAATCTTTGAATTAAATTAGCACAGATACACAAAAGTATGGTAATTAGTACAAAGTGGTTTAGCCAACCAAATAAGTAAAGATTCTATTAACCTTGTGCGATCAACACCAAGTTGATCTAAAGCTTGTATTTTGTTTATTTTAATTCCTGGAACATATTCCATTGTCAGAATCTGCATTGGAAACATAGTTAATTTATGGATGAATAATTTACCGATATAAACAGGGAAGTATGAAAACTGATGCATTTTCCATATATTTGTGAGAATGAAGGTTAAACCTGTGGTGTGGTATAATCCCAGTAGATTGTAGGAACTTTCACATAACTCATGTTCTTAAAGTTACTTGCAAACAATTCAGCATTAGCAGCCTCCTTAGTGTAATCAATCTCCTGAAAATTATTAATTTATGTTGTAGCAATAAAATCAGAGATAATTCGATGATGTGCGGAGAACACGTGCATATGTCATATCAAACCAAGAATGATATTCAAAACAGTAGAAAGTAAGAACCAAAACTTCAGCAAAGACTGGTGAATAATGTAAGTTAATTTTTTGCTTTATTTTTCTGGGTTTTTAACACCTAGTTTTCCTATAACTCCAATTACTAGGATCTATGTTAGAGAAGAAGTCACATACAACTCCATAGAGCAAGTCAGCCTCGTTGCCCACCCCATGCACCTAAACTCTAAACAAACAGTGTTTCTATACCGTCTTACTACCTCCGTCTCCCTGTTTAATTATAGGGGTTTATATGAAAAAATAATTAATACATCTTGTAACTTGAAGAGGTCTTATAAAAAGAGTTAATATTTTACAAGAGAGTCTTATATAGGGACATAGGTAGTTAATATTGGATTTCTCTTCAGCAGAATTAGACAAACGATTTCCTTCAGTAATGCCAATTAGCCTAAAATAGAAGCAACTTGCCAAGATATTATCACCTGATATAAGACAGAGGCACATTCATCATAAATAGCAACCCAATCCCTCTTTGCACCATCCGACTTTGGATCAATTTTTTGAAGATATTCAGCAATAACCTGGAGTTAAAGAAAGGATCAAGTATCGGCATTATATACACTGGTATAGAATCTTCAAAAGATGGAGATCCTTGTACCAAAATTTTCTCTCAAAGAATAGAATGAAATGTCTGTGCCTAGCTATGCAGACAAGAAAAATCATGTATGCGAGATAAAAGTATCCTTGAGACCAGCATTTGGAAATTAAAGAATTATCAGACAGTAATATTACATTAGCAGACATAGCTATAAGCATGAGGTTTATATGGAAAGCCTTATAAACTATAACACTCACCCTCAGGTTTTTTAGATCAATATCAAAAAGATCCTTGAGACCAGGCCTTTGCACTTTAACAACAACCTCTTGTCCCTTCAATCTTGCCCGATGAACCTGACCTGCATTAGGGGGAAACAGTTTGCTAATCCAGTCTTCTCCTCAAATATTAGAAGTATTTATTTGCATGTTATTTTCATCTGTTATAAAAGATTGTGAATCAGCAGGCTCACACCAGCCAGACAGTGTACTTCTGTGTTTAGTTTTCAGTTGGAGGTTGATATTTGGTTTCAACAGAATCTGACAGTTATAGCAGACTGGCAGCTACAGATCAAACCTTCACTTACTCTAAAAACAAACATGTGTAATCAGATTCATACTGTTCATTCAGAATTCACAAATACCAAAATTAGATAATTAAGAATTTTTCTCTTCAACTTTCTTTCACTTACTGCTATTTTCTCATATCTTATCAGCAACTAAAACTCCAATACAGTATCTTGTAAGTACGGCTTAAATAGTAAAAAGCTACAGGGATATTTTAGATTTGAACCCACAATACCCCTCTTCTCTACACTTAGTCTGTGTGAGTTTTGCCACAAGGCTCTATAAAACAAAAATAAATAAAAGTCCAATATGGTCTCGTCAGCATTTTCTAGGTCCAGGCACAAAGACTTTCACATCCTTCCCTCAGAAATCAAAACTGCACTCATTACTCTGCTCCTCCTACCACTGTCTGGCATTAAATCTCCATCAAACAATATGATAAGAAAAAAATTGTAGGTACGTTTGATGCACATTGAGACACGAGTAGAACATCACAACTTTTTTAGGGTGTTTGGATATACAGCTTAACTAACTGCTTATTTGGTAAGTGTTTATCGTATAGAAGGTTAAATAAAAGTTGCTTCTACAATCGAAGAGTGAATAAGGGTATACTCTGGATAAACTGAAAACAACATACGACAATAAGTTATCTAGAAGAATTTATTAAAATAAGATGAAAACAACTTATGGACACATTTTAAGTTATTTCCATTATGTTCTTCCAAACACTTATGCTATTGCTTATATCATAAGATAAGCCCAAATAAGCTCTTCCAAATACTTCTATATACTTTTTGGTGGTCAATACACAACACAAACAAAACAATATAAAATTTAACACAATACCTTTCAACTATGCAGTATTTATTTCAACTAAATACTGCAATTTGTTATAATCTTAATATAACACATATCATAAAAAAAAAACATGCAAAGCATAACATTGATTACCAAGACTTGCAGCAGCTATTGGTTCATAGTCAAACTGATCAAAGATATCACCTACAGAAGCTCCGAGCTCCTCTTCAACAATAGCTATAGCAGTCTCAGAGGGAAACGGAGGCACTTGATCCTGAACCCAAAATAAGAGGTAACGTAAGTACTGAAGAAATGCAACCTTTAAATTTTTCTTTTTCAGCTTAAGCTTTCTAAGTTTATATATACTAAGTTTATATATACGTCAATATTTTCATGTCACCAGTTTTTAGGATTCGAAGGAAAACACTTTCACATTTCATAGTTATATGCTTTTTTTAATATCATTTGCTGCCAAATTAGACGAACAAGATTGAAACTAAATAATACAAGGATTACAAAATCCTTATAACAGGAAAGTTTGCTTCTCATGCAATAAATTACTTATAACACGTGCTTAGATTGTAAATAACTTGACATGAAAATATCACGTGATTTCTTAGAAAATATTGACAACTATTTGTCATAAAAATAAAAAGTTCAAGATAATAGCATCATGGATGATGATGCTCAGACCTCTTATTAGCATTGTTATTAAATTATATTAGGCTACAAATGTTATATTTAAGGCAGCAGTTATGAAATTAGGCTGGTAGTTATTTTATTATGTTCTTTTTTGGACAGATTTTGAATGAAGGAAAATTCTAACTTTTGCCCTTAAAGCACATGTTAAGCAACTACTCAAGTAGAAAGATTCGTCTTAAAAGTCGAGCATTCAACTTTTAATAGTCAGAATATTGTTTTTTTCAATGCTAAATTTCCACTTTTAAATTCTTTAACTTGTGTCGAAATATTCGTCTCCAAAGTCAAGCATTCATGACCCTTGAATAAGTAGAAAAACTGAACCAAGCTCTTGAATTTTAGGAAGAGAGAAACCCAAGACTCTCGAATTTCTTGGGAACCCATTGTGTAATCTTATTCTATCATATCATAAGAGTCAATAATTTCAATTAAACCTCTATGTATGGTACCAGTTTCTATCAACTGGTGCCATAGCATACAATTATGGGCATTTTTCATGGTTCACACGCGAAAATGAAAGCAACGATTGAAGCACTTGAGCTCTGGTTCGGAAATCAGAGGCAGATAATCGAGGAAGAAAGGGCTGAAAGCCGGAGCCAGTAGACTGATATCTTAAAAACCTGAACTGGAATTCACAACAGAATGGACATCAAGATCCACCGGCGAAGAAGGCGAAACTGGTGGCAACGAATCGAGTAACATGGGAGACAAAATGCGCAAACTAGAAATTCTTCTTTTTTCCAGAGAAGATGGATTTGGATGGGTGAAGAAATTTGAACACTATTTTGATTTGAAGAGGGTCACCGATGCAGAAAGATTGCAGGCAACCATTTTGGCAATGGAGGTGAAGGCTCAAAATTGGTTTCTATGGTGGGTATTTTGTGAAGTAGTACCGACTTGAAATGAGTTTTTTGGTGCACTTCTTGATTTCAACCAACAGTAACCCAAAACTCCTATGAATTGTTGATTGCTCTCAAACAAATTGGGACTGTGGAATAGAAAGAACAATTTGAACTCTATGCAGGACCACTCAAGGGGGGTGATCATAAGTATTTCCAAGGAATTTTCTTGAATGGATTAAATGCTTCAACCATGGCTGAACAAAAACCGCATGTGTTTACATCCTTACCCAAATCGATGGGATACGCACAGAAAATTGATGAAAAAAATTTACTGCTCAACTGGTTGCCATTGTTAGACTTCTTATTAGTATTGCTATTATATTATATTCGGATGCAACTACTATGTTATTAGGCAGCACCCAACAATTATTATTTAAATTTTTAAGGTAGCAGTTATACTATTAGGTTGACAGTTATTTTATTAGACAGATTTTGAATAAATAGGAAAACTGGAAGAAAAAAAATCAGTAGACCTTAACTTTGGGACAGGATATTTATAGGGAGAGACCAAACTCTCAAATTCTTGGAAGGAATAGACCCAAGACTCTCGAATTTCTTGAGAACCCATGGGTATCATCCAAGACTGTCAAATTTCTTGAGAACCCGTGAAATATATAAATAACTTACTTTAATTGGTAATAGAATATGAATACACAATGAGTTCCCAAGAAATTCAACAGTCTTGGGTCTCTCCCTTCCAAGAATTTGAGTTTGGCCTCTCCTAACTGATATCCAGTCCCAACTAAGTGCCTATTTTCCAAACTGCCTAACTTTTCTATTTATTTAAAATGCATATTAAATTCTAATCATACTGGAAACTAACTTCTAATAGCCGACCCACACCAGGCCAGACATAGTTGGTAAATTTCATGCATGATGCAGGATTAGAATTATTCAGTATTTGAAGGCCAATCCGGGGAAAGACTATAGTAGTATATACATATGTTGACTATGCAAGGTTGCTGGTTTATAAATTATAAGACATGCACCACAAGACATTGCATACTTTTGGGTTGGACCTAACTCAACCCCTACGAAACCAGGTCGTAAGGTGAGGACTGCCTTTATTTATAAACATTTCTTCATACCTTCTCTCATTCAATGTGAGACTCTTGACACACCCCTCATGCCTAGGACCGGAAATCTTGAGCATAACCCGAGTGGTCTGGTAGCATTAGCTTGATAGCAGACGGCACAACAAATCTTGTGTAAGTTTTGATATCATATTTAGAATTGGGATTGGGTTTAACTCAACCCCTACAAAATCGGACTTGTAAGGTGAGGATTGTCCCCACGGACAAATGCAGTTTCATACCTTATTTCATCTAATGTAGGATTCTTGGCAGAAAGATATGATGGATGATATAACAAAAATACATGCAAGTTCAAAATACAACAATGTAAGGAAATAATCTCATAAATGATGTTCAAGACTCTAACTTACCTGAAGTTCGGACAACTGGTCAACATATTCTTGAGGAAGAATATCCACCCTAGTGGAGAACTGCTGACCAATTTTAATGAAGGTAGGGCCTAATCTCAAAATGCTTTCCTTAAGCCACTTGGCAAGGGTCTTCCGCCTTAACTTCTTTTTTCCCTCGGTCATTCCTCCTGTAAGTGATATCTTCTAATCAAATAAAACCAGACAATGGCATCCTAGAAATTCGTCAAAATTCAATAAATGAACATTTTGTATTGTAACAGGTTTATTTGTTATAGGTAGCCTCATCGTAGGCTTTTTTTAATTGGTTTTTAAAGCTAATGATGATCACAAATATCATCAAAGAACAATGAATAACATTTCGAAAAGAATCACGATACCTTCTTAACCATCAATTTTTATTAATCTATTGGTCCGTGTCTATTCACTCCACTCATGTGATCATAAATACCATCAATTGTTATAGCCTGGAAGCCTAGCCATGGGCTTTTTCTAGGAATAGCCATAGGTTTTAAAGCTGGTGATGATCATAAATATCATCAAAGAACAATGAAAAACATTTTGCAAAGAATCATGATACCATCTTATCCATCAATTTTTATTAGTCTATTGTACGTGTTTATTCACTCCACTGAAGTGATCATGATTCACTCGGTGCTCCTCGCTTTTACTCTCCCACGGCACTGAAGAATATCCCAATGTTTCTCTATCATTTTTCATTTGTCATTTCATTTATCTGCTACGATTAATTTATTTTTGTTTGATCCAAGTGCTTATTTTAATTTGGGGACAAACCAAACTACTAACACACCCTCTCTTTCTCGTTGGTCAAACCCCATAATTAAAACTTGTAATACTAAAATAAGCACAAGAACATAAACATGCATAGCATATTAAAAAGTAGAGAACTGCATATAAGACGTGAAATTCATGAATTATCACTTATCACAGCAGTAACTGTTTTCATTTTGGCATGGCATCTCTAAATATTTATAAAGAGCAAGCCCTTGAACAAAGAAAATAGAGTGAGGTCCATATAAGAGAGGAATTTTAATAAAAGGAAATCACGATCGAATAGAATTACGACCATCGGATTCTTCGACACAAGAAGTCAAGATCCCGCACACAGATTAAGTTAATAAGCAAGAACTATTACATTAATTAAAATTGACGGATAAGATTTGGAGTCAAAGTAAACTTGGACTTCAAGTGTCACTCGATCCTAACTCTTTATAAAAAATGTTAAAGCGAATCATAACAATGTATGGGGGGCGGTCCATGAGTTCCTATCAAGTAGTCTCAGGAGGGTGATGCATGTAACTTTATCCCCTACAAGTAGAGAGAGATAGTTTTTAGGATTTGAATGTGTGACAACCAAGTCGCACGGCAACAACCTTACTGTTGTGCAATGGCTCGTATTCAAAGAATACTCATAACAGCAATGAGATTAACTTGGTAAGCTTAGGTCAGCACTTGGGAGTTGATAATTTAGTGATAGTGATACCCACTCTAACCGTCACAGTTAACTTGCCAAGACATTCACTCCAATCTACATAGAAGTTTTGCATCGAAGGATACAAAGTAGTTTCAAAGGCATATAATATAGCACCATGCTAACTTCAAGAATTGGAGAAAAAAAACATATCTAAGTAATCACGCTATGGTCGTCATGAATTAGCACCAACTGTCATGAAGAAGGACAAGAACAAAAACACCATGGTATGACCCTAAACCCACAGTAATTATCACAAAACTCCCATATTTCCTACTTGAGTGGTTGCCATTGATTATAGTTTCCAACTTTCCACAACGTCCCGAGTCCCAACCATATTATAACATTATAACATCCCTTACAGATTAGCTTAATGCTATTGCCGGCTCAAAGTTCTCTCGACTAACATGATCATAATATAAATTCAAGTATTCAACTAGTAAACTATTAAGCTAAGTTATATCTGCTTTTGAACTATTTAGTTTCTGTCCATAACTGATAGCAAATTAGCAAACACTCCTGATACTGACGCATATGCATATACCACAAATCAACTTTAATTGGTAAAGTAGACATGAAAAAGTTCCACAGAACGATAAATGTAATAAGCACCCCACACACATCACTGAAAGAGGAAATTTGTTTACCAAAGAAACAGTGCCTATTAAAGCTAAAAAACTAATAAAACAACGCCACAAGAAAACCATAAACCACATGATTCTTCCAAATTCCAATGGATAGAGACAATTAATAGGCGACGCCGAACCTTTGTAAGAAAACTTCTGATTGTCCAGCCATGCCTTAAAGATGAACGTCACAACAAATCCCCAGATTTCTAAGGTTCTCTGGATTGTAGAGTAAGTCTTGAATCTGCTCCAACGACCTCCAGGAGCAACGGCTACCTGCCACAACAACAAAAAAAGGTGTTCATAGTTCATACTTCTTTCAAACTTGTACAACCCCAAAACAGAAACAAAACGACGACATACCTCGACTTTTACTTTCTCAGTTTGTTTAAACCACGCGTCTTCTTTTCCAATCTCCTCCAACCTTCTCTTCCTCCCATCCTCATTAACCTTGGACGCTTCAACGTCCATCACCTCCGTAGAAGCTACACCGTTTCCATATCCGTACTCCACTGAGCTTCTGTCGACGGCACCGTTAACATATCCGCGGGAGGCAGCTCCGTTGCCGCTCCACTCCACGTCGTTAACACGATCGGCTAACGCGGATTCTTCTTTCGAGGCACGGATTCGCGTGGTGCGAAGAGCGGCAATGGAGGTAGAAAGGCGGGAAATGGAGTATTTAGAAAGAGAGAAACGGTTACGGTGAAGGATTTGTGGAGAAAGAAAATGGAGTTCGGGTAAGTGTAGAAGAGAAGATGTAGCCATGAATTGGAAGTTTCTAAAGAGATTAGGGATGATCAGTGTAGAATCATGATTTTCATGGTGTGAAGAGAGAAGAGTCAATGTGACAGTGATGAATAGACGTAGACGAAGTTAGATGGAGTGGAACAAATTAGAAAGGAGGGAAGGGGTGGAGATAAATGGGACACGTGGCATCACTCAAGCTGGGCCACATGATATTTTCAATTTAATTTAGAATTATTATTTTTAATTCTTTACTAGAAAAGACTTGTGTTCGCACGAGAAAATTTATTCGTAATTGAAATCATTTGATAAAAATCATTACAGTTAAATATGTTATAGGTCTCTATAAATAATCAAAAATTTAGTTTTAGTTCTCCTAATATTTTTGTATAAAAAATCATCCTTCTAAAGATTTTTGTCCCTAAATTTCATCTATGTTGTCTATTTCACTTAACGGCATCCTACGTGGACACTGATTTGGCTTTCTTTTTTAATTATTTGGACCTGTTTGGATTTCAACGTCTGCTAGGAAACGACACATTAGATAACAGATTAGCAGGTCAGCGTAGATTATCAATCCTTAACCTAATTTCACCAAATCACATTAGTACACCCCTATTTCTCTTTAGTCTCATTTCATCTTCAGATTCTTGTCTTCGTCTTCTTGCTTTCCATTTCTTCAGCCTCCATTTCTCTTCGCCCTTTTCTTCAACTTTCATTTGTCTCCGCCCTCTTTCAACTCATTTGATGTCGTATTCAAGGACAAGTCCTAAGAAACTTATTAGCATGTCTTCGTCATCTGTGTGAAGTCGTCGTCGAGGAAGGAATTGCGACTGTGATGCTCGTATGGTTTCATACGTCTGCAAGAATGGTCGTAATAAAGGCAGACTTTTCTGGAAATGTCATTTTCGGCAGGGTGAAGAAACTTGTGATCTTTTTTGTATGGGATGAAGATCTTGTCGAAGAAGATGATAATGGTTTTGATCAGGTAGAAAATTACAGGACGAAGGAATTGGATACAGTTGATTTGTTGAGAGAGTTGTACGAAGGTTTGAAGAAGAAGAACATGAAGATGCAAGCAAAATTGAGAGCAGGGGCATGGGCTGGAAAAATCAAGCTCATATGCTTTGTAGTTTCTGTTATGATTAATGTGTATCAATTTATGAAATGTAATTGTTGAATTTAGGATGATCAATGTAATGAATTTTTGGATTGATATGTTATGTAGTTTCTATCATGATATGCTTTGTAATGGAATATTGGATGATCAATGTAATGGAATTGTGGATGTTCAATTTATAAGAATTGTGTTTGATCACTGTGTTTTTGTGTGTTTTTATTAGATTTGTGTTTCAATTATAATTTGTCTTCTAATTGACTCATAACATCTAAATTTTGACTTTATAACATCTTAAATTTTGTCATGATGTTCCCTTAAATTTTGCCTCATTTTTGGCATTATATCCCTAAAAGTTTGGTAAGACTTTTGACATCATAATTTGCAAACAAATTGACATGAAATAACTCCATTAAAAACATAAAAATTCAAAGTATTCAAAGTCAACACATGAATTTAGTTTGATCCAAAAGGATGACCAAAAGTACAAGTCATTGTATATCGAGTACAGATAATCATAGGTTACATCATAAACAAAAAAGCATACTTAATCAAAGTCTACAAAAAAACACACTTATGGTAACATAGCCCACAAAAACAAGATCATTCAACTTCTTCAAACTTCGTCCTCATTGAGTCAAGCCTTTTTGAATTTCTTTCTAACATTTTCTTCCCTTTTGTTTTGGTTGTTTCGATGTATCATCTTCAGTGAGCACAATTGGATCTTCAGGGTGTTTTCCAGACCCTATGATGTCTTTTGTTGTTATAGTCTCGAGTCTTTCACTCTTTCTGGTTTAACTCACAGCTCCTGGGACTTTTTTCTTCTTTAGCATTATAGACTTAACCTAAAAAACAGCCATGAATAAACTTGATCTAACTTACAGGATCGCTAAAGGTTGCCTTGACCTTTCCTAGATGTTTGAATGCTTTTGAGGGTTTAACTTTTGGTGCACTGCCAAAGAAGGTCTTCGCACCACCAAACATTGAAGGACTTGTGTTTACAGCAGCCTGATTGATAGGGCTTAAGTCAACTGTAAGAGGTTGAATGTCAAGAACAATGTCCATTTCATTAATGATATCATTGAGAATTGCTTTGAGAACATTTGGATCTATGTCATTTAGGTAGTCTATTCTATTTGTACTTCGTGGTGGTGTAGTATCAGAAGCTATGAGTTATGTAGCCTGAGCATCTGTTGGTGGTGGTGCAGTATCAACACGAGGTCACAACAAATGAACCTACAAGAAGAACAAGCTGATTGTGGTTGTTCCCTCTAGTAATACCACCTAGGCCACTCAAGACTTACCCACCCAGCCCAGTCAAGAATTGCCAAACCATACCACTCAAGACTTACCTACACAAGCAAGTCAGACTAGCAAGGTCAATTTGGCACCAAAAAAATGGCATTGTTTAACTTAAATCTTACATTTACTGATTGTTTATCTAGGTATTTTGTGCAAGGGTAACAATGTTAACTATTTGTTTGTTTCATGCAAGGGAGGCCTAAGGGATCTACCAACAATTGTACATCTAAGGGGGGAACAAGGAAGACAAAAGTGAAGGAGGGAATAATTAAAGTTGCATCTGTTAATGAGGCAACCAACATTGTGGAACCAATTGTCAATGAGGAAGTTGTTGTCATGGAGGGGAAATCAAGTGTCAAGAAGGGAGAGTTAAATGTCGATGAGGCTAAGTCAACTGTCAAAGAGGCAAAGTCATGTGTCAAAGAGGCAAAGTCAACTGTCAAATAAGCAAATTCATGTGTCAAAGAAGTAAAGTCAAGTGTCAAATAGGGAGAGTCAAGTGTCAAAGATGCAAAGTCAAGTGTCAAAGAGGGAATGTCAAGTGCCAAGGAGAGAAAGTCAAGTGCCAAGGAGGAAAAGTCAAGTGCCAAGGAAGGAAAGTCAAATGTGAATGAGGGAAAGTCAAGTGCCAAAGAGGGAAAGACTTCTATCAATGAAGAAATGACCTCTGTCAATAAAGGAAAGTCAGGTATCAAAGAGGGAAAGGCTAGTACTGATCCAACTGAGGATATGGCAACTGATCCAACTGTCACTGAACCATGTGAGCCAATTGATCAAATTGATCCAATTGATGAAATGATAATTGAACCATGTGAGCCAACTGACCAAGCTACATGTGCTTCATTGGATGAAACTCTTGCTGCATTATTAGGAGGTGATGAGGTCTTGGATATTCAACCTTTAAGGGTTGACAAATCACCTCTCAAGGCAACTGCACCAAAGCAGAGTAATGTCAAGGTTTTCTTTGGTAAGCAACCCAAAGTGTATTAGAACAAGTCTTTCAAACCACCTGGTATTAGAACAAATATTTCAAGGCCAAGTTCAAGTGAACCACCTAAGTTTAAAACCCATAGCAGGTACAAGACAAAAACCAATGTTGCAGCAGAAAAAAGGCATAGTGGAAGATTGAGAACCTTGAAAACAAAGAACATTCTTGACCCTAGGAAGAAACCCAATGACCCTTTGGATCTAACTAAAGAAGACAACACCACTGGCAAAGGTCAAACCCAATGAAGCATTAGTTTTTGGCAGATGGACTTGTTTAGGAACAGATATTTTAATGTAATGTACTGATTTACTTTTTTACTCAATGTGATGTACTGATGTAGCCTTTTGAACAAATCATGTTCTTTTGATGTAATGGAAATGATGTGTTGTATTGATTAATTTATTATACTAATGTACTATTATGAACCTGTTATGGTATGTTAATTTAATGAAATCAATTGAGAACAAATTTGTCTTGTGAACATATTATGGTATGCTCAATGTGAACCTGTGAACATTCTGTTTTGATCGGTTTCTCCTACTCATGTTCCTTGACTGTTAAGTCCATATGGTTTCAATTTTATACAATCAAATTAAAGCCACCTAATAGGTCAACTTTATACAATCAATTATATGCTAGTTAGACATATAGAACAATACTAATTGACTGGAACTATGTCCAAATTTATACAATCAATTTTATACACTTAATTATATGCTAGTTACACAAACTCAACAACACTGAGTGATTTAAACTATGTTCAAGTTTATACAGTCAACAATAGTTATATAGTCGATTATGTCTCATATTATGTCCAATTTATAGGTAAACTATGTTCCTTGACTAAAACTACAAATTGAACATACCAATTGAACAATACTAAATGAATTACATAAAATTCCAATTTGTATTTAAACCAATTCAAGATTACAAAAGCAGTTTATGTTACATTTCACAACATACCACTTATACAAGATTAAAACTTACACAACATTACAGATGATTACACCTAATCGACAATTACACCTAATTAACATATACAAATTGACCATGTCTGAAACTACAATACATAATATCTTCATCTTCCCCCAAAATGCCTCTTCCTTAATATTCATCTTCAACCTCTTGTTCTTCTTCATGGATGATTCGTATAGCTCCTTCAGAGTTTCTAAAGCTTGCATTTTCCTCACATTACTATTGTCCTTCCTCCATCCTGAATGTACACATTCCTCATCATCCTTGACTTTTGCAATTTCATAATCCCAAATAAATAAATTGCAGGTACCCTTGTTTTTCCAATACGGTTATCTCCAAAACAATCGACCTTTGCTCTCTCTGTTCTTACACATGTATGAAATCATAACACCATTGCATCCACACCTTTTCACTCCACGGTACGTCAGAGTCGTCGAATAGTACAAAACTACTTTGCTTAACCTAGATGAATACGACATATTTATGAGATGGACGAGGGAGACAAATAAGAAGAAGAACGATTGGAAGGAATAAGAAGAAAAAGATGAAGACGGTGAACAAAGGGATTAGGGTTCACTCAGTTTTCCTCTACTATTTATGATAATAAAATAATTATTCCAACTCAAACTGACGTGACCA